CAGTTAACGGCGCATCGTGCCTCTTCCCTGGCCCACTGCACAACAAACACCAACCTAAACATTTTAATTTTACACGACGAAATTAAAGGGCATTATTTAAGAGCTGAATGAATATGACTGATTTTAAGTGTAAGCTTTTTGATATTAGGCCTGAAGATAATTGCACAACTTTAAGAAAAGGGTAGCATAAAGCTAATGGCATTAGGTTGCATTTATATCATTTATTTGCAGCCTAATCATCATGTTTGTTCTGCGATCCTCAAACTGCCTCCCTTACTTCATCTTTGCTAAGCTGTGATCAGCAGAGTTTGCAGGTGAAGTTCTCTGTTTTTTGGCTTCTAAAAAATCACTTTTTAACATTAATTTCTTAACAATACACTTATTTTTGGGAGATTAAGGAATATGCATATCATTCTCCTATACCAAAGCTTAAAAAAAGACACAGAAATCGCACCTCAAAGTATGTAGATTCATACTTGTCAACTTCATGTGACTAAATGTCAACAAGCGCAGCAGACTGTTTTGGAGTTTACCTTTCAAACTCTCCTAAACGACAGTCACCCTGTTCAGCCTGATCCAGCACATGCCCTGATGACTTGTGTTGATACATTTAAAAAACAAAACAAAGACGACACTAGCAAGCTAAGTATTGCTTATCATAACATCTTTTTACGCATTGCAGACATGGTTTTGTTTCTTTACAATGGAAAACAAAATTTACCAACAAATAGAAAACTGCCTTATACCACAACATCAGCTCTGGGAACTTTCCTGCTGGCTGGCCGACCAGGTAGAATCAATGACAACCTTTTAACTCCATGGTGCTCTTCAGAAGCTCATTCAAAGGCCATCTTGGCAAGCTGTGCGAGGTCAGCCTTGGCCAGGTCACGAGTTCCCTCAGTTGCTTTTGTGCAACACAATTTAAACGCACGTCCACTTCTTGCGTCAAATAGCGCACTAAAATAATTTCAGTGCAATTATATCCAGTCCTCCCAGATTACCTCTGAGATAACAAAGTCTGATATGTTTATGATGCCAAAGCAATAAACACTCGTTTCGTACAGAAACATGTTGTCACGTCTGCAGTGTTCAGCTCTGGGAACAAAATTAGTCTTGCCTTTTTGTAATTAGAGTTAATGGGTTAGTTTTAAGCCATTTAATTTTAGTCATTCGATTCAATTAAAGTAAAAAAAAAAAAAAATGATATGGCCAGTTAAGTAGCAGAGGGCACTGTTTATCAGTCTCAGCTGCTTTGGCATTAATGAAATTAACAGGTGCACTAGAGGGACAACAGTGAGACAACTCTTAAAAGGGGAATGGTTTTACAGGTGAAGGCCACTGATTTTTTTTTTATTTTTTTTATTTTTTTTTTATTTTTTTTTTTAAAACCCTCATCTTTTCTGATTGTTTTTGCATTTGGCTAGCATGAGGCCTGGATATCTGGATCCTAAAGAGGTTGCACAGGTGGGCCAACTCCAGGATGGCACATTGATGCGTGCTATTGCCAGAAGGTTTGCTCAAGGAGAGCTGAACAGGGCTGTAGAAAGTCAAATCCATCAGAAGGACCAGTATCTGCTCATTTGTGCAGGGAAGAACAGGACAAGAACTGCCAGAGCTCCAAAGTGACCTCCAGCAGGATACTGGTGTGAATGCCTCTGATTAGCTAGAGAGCGTCACCCTAGCTGTCATTAGGCATCAGTTGTGTTTCATTTCAGGCTGTTCATGAGCCAAGTGATCTGGGAGATCCCCCAAGACACCATCCATTGTCCCATTAGGAGCATGGTCCAACATCGCTGGGCAAGCATGTGGGGGCCAAACTGAGTACCAGTGTGAATTACAGTAATGAAATGTCAGCAAAATGGACTAGTCCGCTGCTTCATTTGATCTTCAGGATGCCTTTGAATTCAGCTCTCTGTAGGTTGATACTTTTCAAATTGATCATTTCCAAATTATGTGGCATCCTTTCATTCCTCACACACTACCCAGTCCGTATCAGTATAGATGTCCAGTATTATTTTTAACCCCACATTGAAATCTAATAAATTTGCTTTCATTTTTTTGAGCAGTGTATTTTAAGTAGTGGCTGTAGTTTTAAAGTTTACAGTATCACGAGTTTCTAAACCAGATCGTTCACTCTCACTATAAATGATGGGTTAGAGGTTTTTAACATCTGTGCTCCATAAGTAGATAAAAGTATCTGTGGCTTCTTATGGCTTCCGAGTGACCTGGCCTCTGTCAGGCGCTCTGGATTATGCAGTTGATCTACTGCGTGTGGGCGAGCGCCGGCTTATGTAGAACTGATCCAGCCCAACTCACAACTCCACTTCCGAGTTCCTGCAGCTGACCTCTTCCCCCTCCTGTTAGAGAATGCTCGCCACATCCTTCCGCCGCCCCCCCCCCTCACTCCCTCGCAGCTTGATACTACCTCCTGGCCTTCTCCCCCCCCCCCCTCCCTTGTCCCTCTCCAACCAGTCGGCTTGTTTGCCAGTCTCCGGTGGAAGCCCTGCCAGAGGAGGTTGAGTCACACTGAGTCATCAGCTACACTGTCTTCATCCTGACAAATACCACAAAAACATGAACCTAATCATTGAGTGTGACATAAAAACAAGCACTCAAGGGAAGGGTTAATGAAGGTTACAGGAGGTACACAGGATGGAAGTAATGTTGTGCAACTTACTGTAATGTACACTGTAGTTGTGGCTGAATGAATTTCAGAATGGATTATGAACTAATACTTCACTGCATTTATACAAGAATATGGGAATGAGAACTCCACGTTTGTGCGGTATAACTGCTTATTTCACCGTTTTGATTTTTAGGTCCTCCATTGTATTGCATTAGCCACGTGAGTAAAGTGATTGCTAGTGTCGTATACATGGTTCAGTAGGCTCGAAACTGAACCATGTAATGAGTCACTAAATTTCAGAGCACAGGTGACGGTTGTAAAATGTACGCAGCAATCCCAGTACAGGTGCAAAGAGCAAAATATTGTTTTTCCACCTACTGCTGTGGCTCACTCACAGGTCCTGACGTGACTGATTTGGTTAAGCCGGTATTTTCACAATCAACTGCTCTCCGTGTTGTCCAATAGCTTTGTTTCTGCTGCACTCATACATGAATGTTTTAATTCTTTTTTTTTTTCTTTTTTTTTTTATGGTTTTACTAAACCAGTGCTATTAAGATCATATTCACATACCTTTTTTCCACCAGCACAGTGAAGGTGCAGTCAGTTGTGCCTTGGTGCCAGATTGAAGGTTTTATCAATTTATTTTTAAAGGATAATATTATAGGGAAGACAAGCATGTGCTCCATTTACCAGACATTTGTGAATTTCTCACACACACGACTCTGGTTTTGGTGGTTCTTAGCTCAGCAATTTTGTGTTGCCCTACTGATGCCGGCTTTTTAGCATCACTTCCAGTCATTTGTGGAAATGCACTAAACTGGTTCCACATTGGGGGACTGAGTACTGTTCACAATAATCTTGTAAATTATAGCCACACACCACCTTAGTAATGCAGAAAGTATTTTCACACTAAAGATCATCGGTTTTTGTTTTCAAATTGGTAAAAATTACACCTGTAATGCATAGCTGCAAAAGTAATTATGCGTTGTTGCATGTAGAATATGAAAGTGTATCTTTCTTGAAAAAGCGGACATCTACATTAACCGCACTGGCCTTTTACGGGAGGAGTGGGTGGTGTCATTTTTCAGCTGAGTGGATTTTATTCACCATTATGTTGAACTGGTTTTTTCACCAAAGGCATAAAAAGTAAAATTATTGGCGTTTTTGTGTAATTGTGACTTGAGTAAAGAGGAGGCCACATTTATGTGTGTTACATCTTAGCGACTGAGTTCACACCGTCGATCTTTTAAAGTGTATACATAATCTATTCATAATAACAGCTGATTTTACAAGATGGTGCCCGTCTTTACATCATGCTCTGCTTTCAAGAATTGTTCACAGAGGAGTGTTTACTTCACTCAAAGTAGACAAAATAAAAATACACACCAAGATGGTTATTTTCGAAATGCGTGGCTGTGACATTTTAAAGGAAGTGAAATTTGCACCATTGCAAGTGATTCCTCTTAAATGGCTGCTGTACATTTTTTCTCTTTTCTTCTTCTCGTCCTAGGTCTGTGTTGACAATGTACTGAAGACGATGAAGGAGAATGCAAACAAAGCTAGCAGTATCCTGTTAACAGCAATACCCCAGATTAGTCAGATGGACTGGGCTCAGACAATAAATACATTGAAAGTAAGCCGTCAGCTTTATGATGATTCATTTCCATTCTGCAAGTTGTGAAAGAGGGTCTGTTTGCTTTCTATCTGGTTATCGTGAACTTTGATCTCACTTATTTCTCGCAGCATTTCTAAAGAATAACAATACCTGATGGTGCATGGCTTTTTTTGGGGGGGGGGAGCCTATTAACAAGATGATTTTCGAAAAGGGGGGGCTCACTCAGACAATAGGACACATTGTGCTATGTTGGATCTCTTGCAGTACTTGCACCATGATAAACATGTATTAATTAAAATTTTGAAAAACACTCTGTATCCCAGTGTTTTTGCACAGACTGTGCCTGAAATTCCTTAGTTTTCTCTTCAAAACTTTCTTTAATGACAGTGCTAACTTTTGATGAAAAATGAGTACTTTCTTAAAGACAATGTTGATAACGACTTTTCCTAAATATAGAAAAGGCTCCTTGACTCTGTGTCAGTGACACACTTTGGTAATAACATATTTTCTTTCTTCCAGTCGATGGCTCAGTCTTCAGTAATGATACCGAAGCACTAAACGCGGAGGAAACTACTAGAAAGGATAAAGAGACCAGACAACCACCCACACGGAGTCAAACACCAACTGCAAACTCAACCCTGCCCGTCCAATCGTCATCAGTGAATCACAACAAAGTGCCTCACATTAAATAATCCACTTTTTTTTTTTTTTGGGTCTTTATTTAGTTGGATGTTCAGTGTTTTGTGTTGACTCTTGACTCTGATTCAGAGATCACTCATTTATGTCTGGAGCATGTTTTCCTCTCACACAGTGTTAGGTGGGAGGGCCCTTCCACTCTAGCTGTAGTTGAGGAAATGGATGTTTGTTACAGTTACCACATTTGGGTCTAAACATTGTAAGGTTTTAAGTATTCAGTATTTTGTGGACACATTTGTGTATGTGTTTGCTGGTTGTAAGCCACTGGTGTCTTAGTTTCTGGTTATATGAAGATGATTTTTAAAGCTTTGCAAGTTTAGCACACAAATACTATATTACTGCCTTAGTTGCATTTAAGCTTCTACTCTTCAAGCTTGAATCTATTGTCAGCATGAGAATGACTGAACGCCTACATGTTACTTCAATCTGGCCACTCTTGTGGTCTTTACGGAATAATTTCATTTTTATTTGCTCTCTATGACTGTGTTTAATGACTAGAGAAACGTCTCATTTTGAATGGCATGCTGCTCTGTACCTGCAAATACCGTAACCAAGTCAGTGAAAAGCTGTCAAATCGGCAGTAAACATGTACCAACAGTGGTAGTGGCGGGGAAACGCCCAAATTATTT